AAATAAAGATGCTGATTTTCTAGGCAGTTAGAGCCTCCCTCCTTGGAAGAGTGATCTGGCACAATCATCCTCTCTCCTCTCTCAATACTGTACCACTCCCTTTTTTGTTTTTTGTACTTGAAATATATAAAAAAAATCATATGCTAGTAACATTTACTTACTTTCAAATCCCTAAATCAAAAATTTCAAGCAAGATATTATTTAAAAAGAAAAATCCAGTCATACTGTATCTTTTTCAGGTATGGTCTATATATTTCTTTTGTACATTGTAGGTGAATCAGTGATCCTTCCCTTGTACTATAGAAAGAATTTTTAAAAAAATATAAGATTTCATATTAAAATGCAACTTTGTCACCTCATCAAATCTGTAAGCAACTTGAGCTTTTATTTATTTTAATATTCTTCTCCATATAAAAACCTCTGGATATTAAATGTAAGGCCAAACACATAATGATATGCAAGAAACATATAGTTATATCAACATAGGAAGCTCAGAAGTTTTAGCAATTATTCTTTATTATTTGTGTACACAGAAATATACTTTCAGTTATACTTCAGTGATTAAACTTACCTTCATGCCAACAAATCTTGCATTTTTTTAAATACTTGCTGTTAGCTAAGGAATGAGAAAAATTTAAATTTTATGATTGATTTTTTTTTTTATTTGTATAATACCGATAAAATCTGTGGTAGCTGTATAAACAGAAATGTCATATAATTAGTTTTTGTCTTTTTATATACATACAGAAAAACACTTCTGTCAACATGTGTTATTCATTTGTAGAGAAGGAAAGAAGATAATGACATTATTTCTATTCAAATATCTATCAGTTTCAATTAACGTGTCTTTAGTTTCACTTTTTATATTCCAAGTCAAAACTACTTATATTTCTTTAAGATAAGTCTTTATTCTTTTTTTCCTCTTTTCTTTTACTTATTTATTTAAAGGGACAAAATGCTGTCTAATAATGAAAAAGAGAAACAATTCTTTAAAAAAATTTACTGATGAGGAAATATTTGCAGAGAAAAATTTCTCTTATCAAAATAATCTGTAAAATGTTAATTCTTGTCAGCATGTAAATGAAAATATGTCTCCTTAAGATTTTTTTTTCTTTTATGGTTGAAGGCAAAATTGAAAAGGAACTTTTTTTTTTTTTTTTTTTTTTTAAAAAGGAAGAAAAGGTGAGTAATAAACCTCTTGACCCTCCATGATGAGCAAAGCAGTCTCTTGGTTTCATAACATAACAATGCTTTTGTTGACTTTGGTAACTAATTTTCTTTCTTTTTTTAAATTGAGAAAAGGGAGAAAATGTAACATAATAATAGTTGCTCTCCTTCAAATGAGGGTTCCATTTTATTATTTAGCTTCTTTTCATCTTTTATTTTTATTTATTTTTTATATCATTTGTCTTTCTTTCTTTATCTCTTTTTTATTCTTTGATTTTTCCCTCTTTTCACTTTTTTCCAGTCTTTGTCTTTTTTTCTTTACTCATATTCCTTCACTTTTTTCTTTTATTTTTCACTTCAATTCTCTCTCTTTAGAGTGATTTTCTTAACTTATCAGCAATTAAATTTCAAAAAGAAAACAGGAAAGTGAAAAAAAGTGTGGCACATGTGAAGTAATTCTAAAGCAATTTGCCAATTTTGTATACAGCACCTTATTTTGTTAGGAAACACTGGTTGCCATTACAGTGCACAGCATTTATTATGCTATCTACTTAGGCTAACCCTATCTCAACAAGTCAGTAGCAAGAAATACTAAAAAAAAAAAAAACATCATAGCTTGGCTTGTTTAATGTATAGACTGAAGAATTTCGTCTGTTTTTAGATGCTTGTTTTGCAAATAGTGTTTCCCAGTATCCAAAATACCTTTTCTTCCTGCAATAAATCTTTAAAATTAAGCAGTGGTGGCAAGACTGACAGTTTAACAACCACATAATTGAACTTTAATTCAAAGAAATAAAGAATGACTAAAGTGTGCCATTTATATTGTCATCATTTCAAAAATAAATGCATAAAACCATTTCAATGAACTGATCATGTTCACATTGATATTGTACTATGATTCAAACTGCACAAACACACATGCTTTCTCTCTCTCTCATTTATGTGTTATTTATGACTCTTATGAGAGAAAGAGTGGGAAAGCTTTCCTCATGATTCCATCTTTAATAGGGGTTTTACATTTAGATCACCAGAGATTAGTCCAAATATAAATTAGAACCCTAAATAAAAGTGTGCAAATGTCCATATACACATGTAAAATTATTATAAATGCTATTTTTAAAAACTTTTTTTGATAAGTGTTTTCTTGCCCGTTTTAATTTCTTGTCTAACTATAGAACTAAACCGATCTAGCTGACAAGAAGATACCAAAAGAATCCCTCAAGAAAAACAGCCATGAAGCTGAAAGAAATAAAGTGCTGTTACCATAATATTGGAAATTCTTACATGACTCAGTGATTTAGTAAGGAAATATCAAAGCAACCTAATCTTCATTAGAGATCAGTAATGACTAACAACAGTGGACAAAATATCACCAAGTAGGTAGGAGAATGAACTAGCTATAAAGTGTGTGTATGTATGAGTGACATGGTAAGGATTGTCTGCAGGCACATCCTTGAATATTAACACCACATCTAAAAATATAAAGTATGTTTGCTTACAAAATTATTAACTGCTAGCATTATTGCCTGGCTGTGATGGCCTGTTTTGGAAAAAAATAGGAAATTTTCATTTACTAGAAATGAATGACTATAAAGACAATGATGGCAATTTCTCATGGGTACCACATTTTGGTTTTGATTGTATACTTTGTACTACAGACTATGCAAAACAACACCAACATGTAATAAAAATATATCACAAAACAGGGCATATTGTATACTGCTATATGTTTACACAGGTGTGGAAATAGCACTATGCACTATTTAGTATATAGCACAAATGCTAGGGGCCAACTTTTCATGACATCTTGGAAGTGTGTCTGTCTGTCTGTCCACAGTAATAGAAGTGTTACTAACTTGACATATTTGGTAGCATATAAAATGTACCCTAAACTTATCTGGGAATCGATTGGAAAATTAAATTTTAGACAAAATTTCTAGGTTCTGCCTTGAACACATTAGGAGAGATTTGAAGATCCTAAGTCTGACCATCACCATGTATGACATATGGTGATTTTTCTTTTTCTTTGTGTTGTGTTGCTTGTGATATATCATCTTATACAGTAAACATTAATGTATTGAGCAAATGTGTGTATGCTTCATATAGTTCGATATTTTTTGTTTCAAAGTAAGAAAAAGATTTACACTTAGTTTATTCATTTTGACATAGGACACAACTCTCTTGAAAGACATTGCTAAGGCTAATATTATATAAAAATAAATGTTTAATATACTCTTTTGATTTACTTTTAGTCAATTTCACCAATGAATAATTGTTAAATTTCAAAATTAACTTGTAAAAATTTAATTTTGTTTTTTATGAATAATCATTGCTATTAATTTGTATTAATTTATATTTGATTCCTTTTTAATTATAAAAAGGAGTGATAAAAAGTTTGTCACTCGGCCAAGATGAAGTTTGAAAAAAAAAAATCTGATGTTTGATCCTTTGGTCATATTCTGGGGAGGGGATCAGGTTGAGAACCTTTCAGCATCCCCTCATGTATAGTATTCATTTCAGTAAATATAGATTGAAAACTTATGAAGTTAGTTTTAGTACCTGGTAGATTAGTAAATAATTATTTATTATCAATTTGAAGTTGATCTGTCCAAGATTTAATGATCTAATAGGCTTACTATAGACATGAGACTGTTAATGTCTATATTTGGTTTATAACTTAATGTAGTCATCTTAGATACTGTAGATATTAGATACTTTAATGATGATTCAATAAGAAATGTTGTCTCTCTTCTTTATAGTCTTGGTGTATCACTCTTGAGTAATATGTGTTGATTGAGATAGGTTGAAGCTAATGTCCTTCTCAGGAATATTCACTTTATCAACTTGAAACCACATATGAATCAGCCAGCCAGCCTCTCTCTGTGATTGCAGTGTGATCATCACTCATCACCAGAACCAACCTTTTCTTCATCAGTGACTTAATTTGATTCTTTTCGCTTTATTGAAACCATTTGCTCTTATATTCAGACACTGTATTCATTCATTCACTTTCAGTGCTCACTCTCTTTCTCACTCACACTCTCTTAGTTTAGACATTTGTTTGTCAGTGCAAACTTACTTTAAAAATTTCACTCCACATTCTTTTCTTTTCTTTTTTAATTGTTTGAATAAAATTTATTTTATTTAAAATAAATAAGGTTATCTGGTGTTACCCAGGATAAAATAGCTTATAGGATCATTTTCATTTTCTTTTTGGTCACTTTTAATTATGTTCCATTTTTTTAAAAAAATTTATGAAAACCTGAAATAGAAAGCAGTTGAGTCTAATTAACATTTAGAAAAGAAAGAACAGTAAAAAAAAAATAAAAAAATATCTGATTTGAATAAGATTGTACAATCCATATTCTCACCTAACCTCAAATTTGATTTTATGGTTTTGTATTTTGAAATAGGGAGAAAAAAGAATAGCCTCTTCATGAAATGTCTGAATGTACTTGTAAAACCCCATGAAAACGCTTTAGCTGCTTCTTGACTTTTTTTTTTTTTTTTTTTTTTTTTGCATTATGCGCACAGAAATGCCATTTATAAATTTGATATCTTTGTATTTCAGCTTTTCTTTTTTCGTTATAAGATGATCTAATCTTTGGTTTGCAACTATTTTTATCCACAAGAATTTCAGTTTCTGATTTGAAAGATATATTTTTCAAATTTTGTTCATATCCAATATTTCATTCTTTTTTCTTTTCATTTATTCTTTTTTGTTTCCTCACTTTTTAAAGTTTATCTGAAAAGAAATTCTATGTAATCCTAAAGTTCTTCTTTCTTACCAATATATTTTCATTTTATTCTTCAGTTCTTTCCATTTTCCTTAACGTTGAAACTCTGGTTCCTGTACAATCACTGAAGTTAAGTAATGTTGAGCCTAGTCAGTACTTTGATGGGTGACTACTGGAGAATGCAAGGTGCTGTAAACTTGGATGTGCAAGTAGTGTAATTGTTAGTTGTCTGGAATTGTTAATCAGAGATCAGAGTTCTAATTCCAGTTAAGTTTATTATATTTACTTACATGCAAATGCCCTTGGGAAAGATACGTATCTATTTCTTCTCCCCCAGCTTTTGGTTAATTAGTAAGACTTGTATCACTAAAACCATTATTATCTCCCCACCCATTTTTTTTTTTTTTTTTTTTTTTTTTTTTTACAATCTAAAAATATTCCCTGACTTTAAATAACCTGCAAAGTGTTGATATGCCATAGAAAACAATCAATCAATCCAAATCTTTTTCTCTTGGTGTTGGCAATTGTCTTGACTGTAACTCATGTTCCATGAAATTATCAATTATAATCTATTGATGGGAATGCTTCAATCACTTAAACTATTCTGCTGTGTTATATGAGTTACTTTTTACCTTTCTGGAGACTAAAACATTGAATTTATTTTTATAAATTTTCTGAAAAAGTTACTTCTAAAATTTAAGATATTGCTAGACTGAAAACAAGTATTTCTTTGTTGTCTCATTTCTATTCTCTTCATTCATTTTGATTTATTTATGTAAGAAAAAGCAGAGCAAAAAATAATTAAATGTCATATCCCAGTGAATTGATTAAGTAATCCTGTCTCTTGAACTTACTGATATTACATGCAAGAAAGCCTTGGTGTTACTATTGTTATCTTAATAAAAATTTGTTCTTTAAAAATCTTATGAGAAACTCAAGAAGTGGTTGCTGCAGTTATTTCTTCATGCTTTTACAACAGGTGCACTTGATGTCCTTTGTTTCTTTTGTATTAGAATAAGATTGCTGTATCAGTTATATGAGAGGAGAAAGTGCATATGTATGTGTGTTGGAAGTGAGGACAGTGTGTCTTTGATTGCAGGGATCATATTATTAATTTTTCTTGTCTCATTTTGCATTAATGGTTTACAAAAGAAAAATGATTAAAAACTTACCAAACATTCAGTTGAGAATGAACTTACAGAAATTATCGGATGACGAGATTTGAGTCATTAAGGGAAACTACTTGTAAGTGTTGTTAAATTGGAAAGTATTTGATCTTTAATGATCATATGGAATCCAATAAATGTAGTGTTTAAAAAGAAACAAATCTCTTAAGTTTATTTTAATATATGAAAGTATCTTAGCATGATTTGACAGTTCAAATAAATAAGTTTAAAAAGAGAAAAGAAACAATACAGATCATTACCTATCTTTATAATTTTCTGAAATATTGTATATATAATCTCAAATAAAATTGACTATGACAATTCTTCAATATCCAAGGCTCTTCTGCATACAAAAAAGTATATACTTTCATTTCGTCTATGTGATTGTAAAAGATGACGAAAGATCTGTCTTTGTTTAGTTGGTATTTTTGCACAAAAAAGAAATTATATTTGAACTGTAAACTCATATTTCATGTTGCTTTATTAATAGAATTTCATTGAAACAACTGGGAAGTAAGTGTCTTGACATGATCTGAGGTTGATTTGTAGATAAAACATGGACAGAAAAGACAAGAGAGAAAGAGAGGCTAGCTATGATAGGATTGTGCTTTATTGATAAAACTGCTTTCAAAATAAAAAACAAAAATAAAACAACAATTACTCAGATGATATATTTTACTGATAAGATCTTGTAGTATTGCATTAAAAACGGATGTTAGCATTTGTGCATAAATCTATTGATTATGTGGTACATGAATAAGGGAAGGATGGAAAAGAAGAAAATTTAGATACAAATCAGAGATTGATTAATCTCACTCTTGATCATTTAGTTGTAGCCCTGACGGCCAACCAAGCAGTTGTTTGTTTCTGCAGTAGAACATAGTAGCCAAACTAACTATACATGCTAGTTCATAATCATATTAAAAGTGCTAAAATCATTAAATTAGAAATGCTTAATTGATGATTGAACCAACGTCCTCTCCTTATATTGTCAGACTTTGCAAGATCTTAAAAAAAAAACCCAAAAAACGTAGAGTTATCATCTTTAATGATCACTAGGGGATTGTTATTACATTGAGACATGGGAAACTGTTGATGCAAATCGGCCTTCCTGGCATAGGACCATCCAGAGGAGGAGGCGTACCAAGACTTTAGAGTCAAACCGTCAACATGAAGTGGATGTGTTTCATGTTGTCAGGAGGGCCTGACTAGCCCAGCCACATCTACCAAGCACACTCCTCTGTGACTCCTGTTCATGACCCTTCATAGCCACCTCTCTCACTGCCACCAGAGAGGAGAAAAGGAATAAGGAGAAAGAATGACAATCCTGATGCTTGAATGCAAGTGGGTGCTGATGATGAAATATTTTTGCAGATTCCTTATTTTCTATGACATTGAAGAACCAAAAAATGTTTGTAAAACATTTCTTAATGGCATTAAAATTTTTCAAAATTTGAATTCATATCCTGATTATGTATTTAAAAAATGAAATAGAACTTTTAATTTATTTTCATAGTATTATTGAAATTGTAAATATATGAGATCTGAATAAAAACTTAAGGATTAAGATAAAAAATGAAAATAATCCATAATTATGTATCTCTATCAATTTTAGTAATTTGTTATTTGTTTTATTTCATTCTAATAAGATTATGAATTCTGTCAAACATATCAAATCCATCATAAGAAGAGTATGACAAAATATTACTTAATGTTAAGAAACTAAAATTAACTTGATAAGCATACAGATATATTTTAACTCTGGTTAAAGTCCTCATAAAATTTATTTCCTCTTATTTTCTTTTTCCACTTTGTGTTTCAGTTAATCAAAGGAAATTATTGATTCAAATTAGTTTCCTTTTCTGACTTTAAGAAAAATTTAAATAAGTTACTTTCACTTTGTTGCTGACAATATCAGCTCTGTAAATGATGATTGGCTTACTTATTGTGTTCATTTCATTTATTGCTTACCTATAGGTGTAATTGGCATATAGAGGAGGATAATTTTACTGAATGCTTTTAGTTATGATGTTTATTGAATAAGCAACCTGACATTTTAGACTTTCTCTTGAGTTGATAGGAAGAAGGACAAAAAAAAAAAGAAAGAACATAAACAAATTTTTTCAATGAAATTCTATTTATTTTTTTAATTTTAATTAATTTGTTTGTTTACTTTCCTTATTTATTCTTTTTAAGTTTTAATGCTGATCTCATTGTAACATTTTGCATTAATGACATATCCTCATTCATTTCCTATATAATGAGTTCAAAAATTACTATTCAGTATTGAGCACTGGTGAAAGTTGTAGGAGCAATGGAAATTTTTTTTATTTTCAAAATCTTTGTGCTTTCACATGTCAACTAAATAAAAAATACCCAAAAATATTTTGACACCCAGTTTATGCATGCATGTACACACATACATATTTTTATATAAAAATTGTTTATAGATAGTTTCATAATGAATAGTAGTTTGTGTTAGGTGTAGCAGATAATAAGATTAATGGATATATTTTGTAAATATCTCTTCCCAGAATAGTGTTAAATTTTTTGAAATATTTTAAAAAAGCAGTTCTTGTATAGGAAAGCAATGTGTATCATTGCCCAAACATGGAGTAGGCAGACAAATATCACTCTCCATGTGATTGTCTTATAAACTTTACTAAAAGAAAAATGTCTGCTGTTGAATACAGTTCTCATTGAAAGTTGATTCTTTTGTTTCTGCAAGTTCTTGTCTTTTGAGATTCCATTGGGAAATGAGCTTATGACAAATTCTTTCTTGATTGTCATAAATGTGTTGAAAGATTCTCAATGAAGGATGTTTGCATCATCATCATTTTTCCATGTAAAAAGCCATCTTTCTATTCTCTTTTTCAACAAGATTTTATTGAAATGTGCATGAAAGCAGAAATGCTTTTTATTGCTTAAGAAAATTTGTTTTTGAATATTTTGTTTTTATTTTATATTTCCTTAATATCTTGGTCTCTCTCTTGAGGTTATTCACATTATGAAACACATGAATGCTATCAAAATACATATCTTTATTTTACTTTCTCATGTGTGTATTGGTTGTTTTTTTTTTCTTTATCGTTTACTTTTTTTTTTATCAAGGCAATTTTTATCTGCTGATCTTTTATTATGAATGAAATATTGACCAAATGTCCATTGTTGTGACATTGAAACAGCAAAGAAAAAAAAGAGCAAATTAACTAGCCTAGGGATATTAAGTGGACTGATAAATTCAAGGAGAAAAGAATAATAATCATGATAATAGGAGGCTGAGGTAAGAATTAATGATAATAACTAATAGTTTAAGAGATATAAGAATGAATTCAGTTTTATATCTCAAAATATCAATAGGTGCATCAATATGTTCAATGAAAAAACACATTCTTTACACAATAAATATTTATTTTTCAGTATAATCTCCTTTCTTGTCAATCCACTTAATTCAAAAGTAGACATTAATCATATAAATTGAAAATTATATAATGAAAATTCCAACTAATAACTTAATATCTCACTTAATGTTTCACCTTCATATGTTACATTAAATAAGTTCTTTGGAAAGAGAGGTGACAAAACATACAGACAAATACATAGAAATTTCAACAAGTTTAGTTGTTTTTATGCAAATGTAATGAGAAATAAACGTTTTTTTTTTATTTTTATATGACATATGTGCCTACAAGGAGGTGCTGAGAAGTTCTCAGACTAGTGAAGAAGTTTTAAAAAAAAAATCTGATGTTTGGTGATTTGGCCAAATTTTGTGCTGAAAATTATTCACTGCCTTATTAAAAGATTTTAAAATTTACTTTCTTTTTGTTTGTGGTCTTAATTAAAATTTCATAAAACCAATGGCATCTTGAATTTGCTTTTACAAACATATTTCTATGAGAGAACAATGTCTGTTTAGCACATAAGTGGGAATAAAATATCAAACTAGGCAACAAATCATCAAAAATAGATACAAAAATAGACAGAAATGGAATGATAGTAATAAAAATGGAAGACAAACATTACCAAACCTGAATGGGATATGTCTATAAAGTGTATAGAATAATCAATATTAACAATAAAGCATCAATAATCATATATAAGAATGTTTTTAAAAAATTTTTTACTTGCTTAAATTTTGTTAGAAGGCAAAGAAACCATCTACAGTATCATCTGCACTACAATTAATTTCTATCTGAATATTATTTTCTCATATATTTCCCTTGTCAACTATTATTCATTCTTTGCTTTTTATGGAATATTTGCTTTTTGATTAACTATCTTTGCAGTTTAATTTTAGGCAACTATACCAATATGACTCAGCAAAATCAGTTTCAGTCTTATTTTGTACATAGATTTAAGTGCATAATCTATGTGTATGTGCACACATTTGTATACATTGTAGTAAATGAAACATAATTTCATCTGTAAAGGAACAAATTCCTATACAATATGGTGTTTAGAGATCATTTTAGTTGGTTCCTGTAAAATTAAATATATCAAGTAACTTTTGTCTCTCTCTCCTTTTGGTTCTATTTTTTATTTTATTTTAAATATTAATGTTTGCACTATGTTATTGTTTCTGCTGTGAGAATATTTTTGTTGAGTCATTGTTAAAGAGTTTCAATTTTTCAGAGCAATTTGTTTTTGTCTTTATCTCCTTCTAAACTTAATAATTTGAGTTGTTTTCTCTTTGGAAATCTCTTGCATTAAATTTTGATATAAAAAATTTATTTACAAACAGAACTTTTCACCTTACTTTATTTGTATGTGTCCATGTATGAGTTATATATAAAATTTCTTAAGGCACTCTTGTTGAAATAGGTATGATAAAGATTTGTTCCTCTTTTTTTTTAACCAGAGTACAATGACTGGAGCATTTGTTCAACCAGAGAAGAATTTACAATGGTACTGTCAATGGTGTCAAACCCTTTTCAATTTTACTCGGGCCTGAATTCTTTGTTTTTTGCTCATAAAAAATTTGCAAATAAAATAACTTCTTTCAAATTTACTCTCTCAAATCATCTTTAAAATGTAATAACAAGCAATCTGGTATTGCCTTATTTTTTTTATATATACCTAATTGAATTTAATGACATTTTTACTTACTATTATTTACATTATTTGGACTGTTATCCTCATCTTCATTGCCATATTCTCAACATTTCAGTCATTATACACTCCGGGCCTCTTCAGGTGATTGGAATTTCAAACTGAAGCTTTTATTTCATTCACCAGGGTAGATTGTTCTAAGTCCATGTGCCATACCTCTTTCGGATGTTCCAGTTATTTCCCTTTAACTCAACTCTCTAAATTTTGGTTCACCACTGCTGTAGCCTGGTATTGAACTCGTATCTCTTTGGGTCTACTCACTGGATCTAACCAATGCCCAGCTGATAATGGCTTTGGTTAGATCCAGTAATGTAAGTAATCATAATACCTCATCTTGGACATATAGGTAGATATGACATTTTTAATTTTATTTTTTGGTTGAAAGTTTTGTGTTTTATTTTGGTCTCCCTGCTTTAAGTGAATGAATATGAATGGTCTGTGGAGCTGAAGTATGAATAATCTAGGCTCAATATATAAAAGGTTGATAGTCTGTTGACAGTACTGTTGACTAAACTGTTCTCAGGTTGAACCAGTGTCTCCATCATTCTTTTAAAATGTTCCCCTCCCATCTATTAGTCATTCAAATCTTAGGGAATTATCTTGTACTCTAATCCCCGATTCATTTACTTTCATCCTTTTCATTTGCTGCTAATTTCCTGATGTGGTGATTTCCGGATGGGTGAAGAGAGACTTGCTGAAGCAATCAGATATTTCATGTCTTAGAAAATCTAGTCAGTTTTGACTGGAGCAGAAAACCTGAATTTGAATTGGGTCATGGTCATGTTGTTCCTTTCTCTCTGTCTTTGTTGACATCCTTACTTCCCTTTCTTTTTCTTCAAATTTAAATATTGTTTTACTTTGGAAACTTATATAAATTTGAGGAAAAAAAAGTTTTCTTTGTTCAGATTTGCCTTTGTATTCCTTCTGATTGTAAATGTTTGTGTGTAGAACTTTGTTAGAAAATGAGATAACTGACAAGAAGCAAATCTATTAAAGAACTTGTTATTGTAATAGTGCTTTATAAAACCTAATTTAATAGCTTTTTACTTGTAGATTAGATTCATTGTATCATATTGTAGCTAACTGGTTCAGTTAAATGGTTTGAATCCTGTAGTGAACTGATAGTTGAGTTTTTCATTTCTTTCTTTAAACTCACAATAATTATATCACCAAAACAATTATCAGTGAAAGATTTCTATGTTAACCGAAAGTCAAGTTTATGAAAAAGATATAAAATAATCTTTAACTGAACAAATGGGATTACTAGTTAATTCTTCTTAAACATCATTCTCATGAAAAAAAAAATGTTATTCATTATTCTTGCTTTATGAAAACTGGATGCTTAAATTTCCTTTCAAACTACTGCTCATTAAAAAAATTAGAAAAAAATGATTTATAAGTGATTATTTTTCTTCAGTTCTGTGCATAAATTTTCATTTTAATCTTATTCAAATAACTGCCTTAATAATCTCAATACAAGATTTCTGTAAATACAGGATTAAAAAAATAATTGGCTTGTTGCTAGATGATCTCTGTAGGCATTTTAAATCAGAATTTTTCTTTTTTCATTAAACCAAAGAAGAATTAAACAAGGCTTGATGACTTTTATGTAATCTTCTCTACCACTTAGTCTTACAAATACACTAATTGATATATATATATATATATATATATATATATATATATGAGAGAGAGAGAGAGAGAGAAAGAGAGAGTGTATGAGTAAGCAGAAGCTAAGTGAATGAGTTTGTGAACTGTGGTTGTGACAAGGTAAAGTAATATATACGCAATCAACTTGTTTATGCTGTCTCTGCAGTTAGGATACCATGATGAGTCATATACTAATTGTTACATAAATCCATTGGACAAATGGATCTTTCACTTGCTTTACAATCTGAAATCAAAATCTCCCGACAGCTTAAACAGGGACCAGGTAGAAGATTTCTGGTTGGTGCCCTTTGCCTTTTTAACCTGATGGTTCTTTTAGATTTTTCTCTCTTCTTTCAATATATTTTAAGAAAATTTTAATCTTTTTGCAAGGTAAGTATATCAATCAGGAAAGTTGAAAGGGACTGTTTGCAGGTTATTTGTTTTATGTCATACTGAATTGCAATTCTAATTTAAACAATCATGTACAAGAAATTTATTTACTTTTATTGTATTTCTTTTATAGAATTGTGATGATTGTCAAAATTCTTTTTCAAAATTATATATATATATATATATATATATATATATATATTATTTTCTTTTTAAAAATATGATTCCATTGTGACACAAAATTTCTGTTTCAAAACTGAAACTAAATCTATAAATTTAATTATAAAAATTAAACTTCATGTCCATAGTCTCATTCCATTGTCAAGCAATGCTAGTTATTCCTAACATTGCTTGACAATAGGATGAGACTATAGATTTCAAGTTTAATTTTTATAATTAAATTTATAAATTTAGTTTCAGTTTTGAAACAGAAATTTTCTGTCATGATGGAATCATATTTTAAAAAAGAAAATAATTATATTTTGCTCTGCTATTTGTATTGAGCACTGTTTTCTTTGTTTTTTTTTTTTTAAATGGATTATAAATGTAACTGTTCTTTTCTTTATATATATATATATATATATATATATATATATATATATATATATATATATATATATATATATATATATTTTGGTGAGAGATAAAAATTATTTTAATGTTAACTAATTAACAAAGCAGCTGATATTGTAGTTAATGCAGAAATGTTTTCATTTGAATATGCTTCTTGTACATGTTGAATATTTTTTTGAGTGGCTATCAGAAGCAAAATAGTTAATAGGATTGATTGCTGAAAAAAATTTCAATTTTTTTTTTTTTTTTTTCTATTTGGTTGTTTACTCATTTTTATTACTATATTTTTCTTCAGGTGAAGGGACATTGGCTTTAAACTGGAGCTAAGAACGTTTCCTCTTGTTGAACAGTCTTATAAAAAGAATAGTGGTATCCACCTGAAATGGCCATTGTAAGTATTAAGTTATATGAAATGTTTTCCTGGTTATATTCAAATAGAATGCTTAACTTTAAAGAGAGTGTGTTCAGGCAATAAGCCTAAGAGCCATATTGGTTGATAGTATTATGTATATCATATGTGCATTATTTAAAAATAATAGCATTTTCTAAACATACTTTAAGTTTCAGGCCATGAAATTTATATCTTTTAAGGTAAAATTCAAATTAGAATTGAGTGATTAGCCAGATTTAAAAAGAAAGAAATATTGTATTAATCTGGTTACCTGACTGAATTGCTTACCTGTTTGCTAAGTTTTCTAACAAGAGATTGGAGCTTTAGTTTGCATACCTGATCAATAGTCAAATCTATAAAGATCTTTATCATTGGCTGTATTTTAAGACAAGCAATATCACCAGTCTCCCTATATGAAGTCCACTTGGTCTCTTGCGAGCAACAATTTAGTGACATTGATTTCTACTGAGTGTAACAAAAGATTAATAACTAATGCACATTGACAAAAAAATTTCACCATCCCAACACCACAGGTTTTCTCTAAGTTATTGTTCCTTCCTCTCTTTTTGATTTTATTCTTTTTGTTTCTCTTATCTCTTCTTAGATTTTTCTTTGTTTCTATTGCTCAATCTTTACTGTTTCCCTCTCTCTCATTTACGTTCCGTCCCCCCTCTCTCTCTCATTTACGTTCCGTCCCCCTCTCTCTCTCATTTACGTTCCGTCCCCCTCTCTCTCTCATTTACGTTCCGTCCCCCCTCTCTCTCTCATTTACGTTCTGTCCCCCCTCTCTGTCATTTACGTTCTGTCCCCCCTCTCTCTGTGTGACTTACGTTTTCTCTCTCTCTCTGTGTCACTTACGTTCTCTCTCTCTGTGTCACTTACGTTCTCTCTCTCTCTGTGTCACTTACGTTCTCTCTCTCTCTGTGTCACTTACGTTCTCTCTCTCTCTCTGTCACTTACGTTCTCTCTCTCTCTGTGTCACTTACGTTCTCTCTCTCTCTGTGTCACTTCGTTCTCTCTCTCTCTCTGTGTCACTTCGTTCTCTCTCTCTCTCACTTTTTCTCTCTCTCTCTCTGTCACTTACGTTCTCTCTCTCTCTCTGTCACTTACGTTCTCTCTCTCTCTCTCTGTCATTTACGTTCTCTCTCTCTCTGTCATTTACGTTCTCTGTCATTTACGTTCTCTGTCATTTACGTTCTCTGTCATTTACGTTCTCTGTCATTTACGTTCTCTGTCATTTACGTTCTCTGTCATTTACGTTCTCTCTCTCTCTCTGTCATTTACGTTCTCTCTCTCTCTGTCATTTACGTTCTCTCTCTCTCTGTCATTTACGTTCTCTCTCTCTCTGTCATTTACGTTCTCTCTCTCTCTCTGTCATTTACGTTCTCTCTCTCTCTCTGTCATTTACGTTCTCTCTCTCTCTCTCTGTCATTTACGTTCTCTCTCTCTCTCTCTGTCATTTACGTTCTCTCTCTCTCTCTCTGTCATTTACGTTCTCTCTCTCTCTCTCTGTCATTTACGTTCTCTCTCTTTCAGTTACATTGTCTCTCTTTGATATGTTTTCTTTCTCTCCTTCCTAGATATTGTTTTTGGTTTTCCTTATATTCTCTCTTTGTTCATCCACCCTTACGCTCTCTCATATAGTTGGCATAAATAAAGTAACAACCACATCTGAAGTTGAGAACAGTAAAAAAGACAAATTAGATAAAAAAAGGAAAAATTGGTTAACAAATCAAACAATCAGTAAATTTCTCAGCTAACAAGACTCCATTGTCAATGAAAATTTGCAATTTTTCATGAAAACTTTGAATAACATTTTGAAACTGCTTCTTCTTCAATGAAATTTTTTAAATCCTGAGATGTTTGGTGTTTTATTTTAAACTGCATTATTAGTATTCCTTCTCTTCCCCACAAAACTCTAGAGGTGTGATATCTGGGTACCTTGCTGCCAAAAACAGTACTTTCATTCTCCCAAGCCATCATTTTGGTAATTTTCTACAGGAAAACCCTTTGATATAGTAATGTTCAGAGGGAGTTGTGGGGAAAAAAGGAATGGTCCCACATATTAAAGTAGTTTTCACCTGTAATATTTCCATCAATGAAGAAAGGTCTATAAACTTTTCCTAATGACAATCTCATCCAGACCTTTACTTTTGGGCTTGAGTGATATTTACTGATATTTTCTGTGGGTGGTTAACTGTTGCCCCCTCCTACCATTAACCATTTACTTGTTGTTTGATTTGTGTGTGTGTTTTTTGTTTTGTTAATTCTCATTTTGCTTTTCATCCATTTCTAATTGCAAATGTTGTGACTACTTTATTTACATCCTGTGTATCTGCTGCTGACTGAAATTATTGGTATGGTTGACTTTTAAAAGATTTATTGGAAATAATTGCACAGATAATTTAGTGAAGATTTTCTGAAAAAACAGAAGTAGCTATTGTTATGAGGTTAATTCATAAGAAGTTGGCATTCTCATCATAGTCCAGCTTTATGCTAGGTCCTATTAATAGTATTTGTTGTTATTTTCATTTCAGCAGCTTTCAAATTATTCCTGGAGTCTTTAATTATAATACTTAGGTGATTTTTAAACAGTTCTTTAAAAGTTACATTTTCTTCTAGCCAATGCTATCAAATTGAGAGTTTTTGCAACATTATTTGCACTCTTAAGAATAATGTTTCAAAAAATGTTCTACATTATGTTGTGAATGATTATATTAAGAGTGAAATCACCAATTTACATTCTTGTAAAATGTTATATTTTTTCTACATATCAATGTATGTGTGTCTCCATATAAAAGAAAGCCTTAACTACAATACTATTTCAAATGTTATTCTCTATAAACTAAAGGAATTAACATTGTGTTAATAATTTCAGTTATCAGTGACTGTTCTTTTCTTACTCTTTTTCTTTTCTTCTCATTGACACTCCTTATCTTCTATTTGCTGCTTTTATTTTAAGTTCATTCTCTGAATATCTTTATAGTTCATCATTCTTTACTGTCATCTTTCCATTTACTGTCTTTTGGAATCTCTTTTTCAAACATTAACTTGCATTCTTTTTCCAATTATTCTACTTTTCCTTTGATTTTATGCCAAAATTAATGCACGTTCCTCACACCAAAAGGAAAATAGTCCATATAAATATATGTCCAAAAGGCCATTGTTGTACCTCAACAGAGCAACTCATAAAAAATGTTCAAAATATCCTTCTCTTGCTACTTACACACACACATACCTGTCAGATCATTGATTGGTGGACCCTTTCAAATACTCTCACATCATGTTGAATGGTTTCTCAGGTCCCCATGACACATTGATGAAGTGTCTTTGCATTATTAATGTCTACTGCATAAAGCAATTGTTTTAGGTGGCCCTCACAGATAAAAATTCAAAGGACCGAGCTAGTGGGAACATGCAGGCCATGGAACTAGTCCTCACCTACCTATCCATCTTTTATAGCAGATGTCAGCCAGTGCAATGTGCTGGAGCCCCATCATGCATGAACCACATGCTTCGTCGTATTTGCAAGGGTACATCCTCTAGCAGGTCTGGAAGTGTGTTCAAAATAAAGTCCCTGTAGGCAACTCCTGTAAGATGTGCTGGGAGAATGTATGGACCTACCAAACAGACACCTACAATTCTAACCCACACATTAATCGTGAACTGATGCTGGTGTTTAGCCTGTATTGTATCATAGGGATTCTGATCTACCCACAAATTTTGGGCAGGACTGAAGAGTCAAATAACAGATTGACAATTTGTACAATAAGCCATTGGCAAAGTTCTCCTGTCGTGAGTGATCAAAGGGTGAAAGACCCTGCACACATTGCAAATGATACGGATACAGGAGCTGCTCTTGGGTACCCTCCATGTGGTACTATGAGATGTATGACATGCTAGGGCACTTGACATGTGCTAATACCTGGATTGTCTCCGACAACCTGTAGAATGTGTTCTCCATGGTCAGGTGTACAAGCAAATAGTGGTCTTCCTCGATATATAGTTTGTGGTTCCACAGATCCTGTTTCAGCAATGCAATAAACAGCAGCAAAGGTGAGTTGACTCGGCTGCCTTCAGTCCGGAAATGCAATCTGATACAGCCATTACCATTCGTGTGGCAATATGTAAAAATCATATCTGCATGCTCACTATATGAATATCATGCATTATTAAATGGAACATTTCTTAGTTAACTTACTCCTACACACATTAAACGTTGAAGACAGACTAGCCACAAATGTACACAAATGACAAAAGTAACCTAGTGTACATGGCAGCACAACACCATCTACAGTAAACCTTCTTTAAACTTAATAAGTCAAAAACTAATGTTTTGCGAACATATGTTTATCTGTAGTTTTGTCCTTGGTTTGGTATGAAGAACCTGCTCACAAAGTTTGTAACAGTATTTTAGGCACACCCTATATTTCCCTATATTTTTGTTATTTTTACTTCATCTGTCGTAGAATTCTTTATTATTAGTGATTGTGGTGAAACAAAGCCTCAAGTATCCTTTAAAAAAATTAGTTGTGTGTGTAAATGGATTTCTGTTCTCAATTTTTACTGATTTTTTTTTGTCTCATTGTCTTTGTGCCAATTCTAAACTTAGCAAATTTAATCTGCATTCTCAAGTAATTTCTTGAAATAAAACCTGTATGAGGTATTTAAATATACATTATGTCTTTATGAATTTTAATACGATATTTGCTCTTAATAAAAGTTGCTTCATTTATATTCAGTTACAATTTCCTTAGAAAATATTAATCCATTTGGGTCTGTTATTTTCAATATATAAACTTGCTTTCATCAATCTACAATGAAAATCAAATTTATAATTTTTTTCTTCAGTAATGTTTATCCAGGATAACTTTCAGTTTTAATTCAACAAATTTTAGCTTAATCTAAAAATGAAATTATTCAGTTTCAAATAAAATTATTAATAAGTCTGCCTGTAAAATTTAATAAATTTTTCCCAGTAGCATTAGTCTTCAGCTTCAAACGTGCAGAAAATATTTTTTACTAGTTAAAAATGCATATTTATTTGTAAAGAATCTTAAATTAACATTATTGCAATATATGTTTTCATTTAAATGCTCAATAATTTTATAGCAAACCAAATCATTTTTTAAAATTAATATCTTAGTAATTAGTTTCATCCACTGATGTTTTTGATAGAAATGTTTTATTAGTCAATTACCAATGTAGTGTATGGATCAGATCTTCCTGAGTGACCTGGATAATGAAATTGTGAAATTCATGAAATGACCTCTCTGCAAAGGAGGCGGTAGTCATTGATTTTTTTTTTTTTTTCTCTGACTAAAAACTACTTCTGAATAGGATAGGATGTATTTTTGAAAATTAAAGCCCATGTTAGTTGCAAGCAACAGTTTATGGTTATGATTAACAATAAATAAAGATAGTTCTATGACTAAAGAGAAATCCTATAAACATGCTGTTTGTTTAATTTTATATGATTTTTCTGTCTGGCTCAATAATTATAAGCCAATTTCTGAGGCTCTCAGTCTTGAGAATACATGTTTAGATGCAATATTTATTTTTATTTTTTTTCCTTTCTTTAGACTTTGTATCTAAAAAGAAAACATGAAAAAGCTCATATTTAGGTTCATAAAGCTTAGTTACCTAGCATTACTTTGGTTTAAAAAATGGCTCCTAGTATCATCATTAATAATTGGGCAATTTACATTTACTAGATTCACTTTTAATATTGTCTTCTTTTAAGACATATGTAAGAGAAAGAAGCAGTAATCATTTTTTTATATTAATCCTCAAAATAGAATATTTCACATTGGTGATATACAAACCCTTTTTCCTGATTGTTCATTGAATTGGGTAACTAAAAAGTTTTAAGTCAAAATGAGACAAATCATTTTTTTTTTTTATTTTCAACGATAATTTTATTGAACAATATATTTACTATTTTATTTCACTATATTCTGTCATCTTCTAGGTAATTTCATCCTCCTAGAAAATTTTTTTCTTTTTCAGTAAAAAACTGTTTTACATACTGTATGTGGTCTTCTAGGGAATTTAATTTTTTTATTTTTATTTTTTTTTTTGTTAAGATAATTCTCTAAAGACCAAAATAAATTGTAATCTTTAGTGGAAATGGTGGATGAATAAAAACATTCTAGCAAAGCTGTAGCAATTTTTAAACTGAAGAAACGCACAGTATAGCATTATCCTATCTTAACTAAAGTGAGGTACTTTTCATCAGTTGCTACTTTTAAGTGAATTAACATGGTAGTTCCCAAACCTTTTTTCTCTGGGCTGCATTTTTGGAATGAAAATTTGCATGCACCACATATTATGTAATAAAAAGTACATTTAAAAAAAAAAAAAAAAAAAACTGAGAGAGGGTTAAAGGGAGATAACTGCAGAACATTATCATTGATAACTCTCTCTTCCAATTTGTAGACATTAGTTACTATATTCTTAATACTTGTAAAAATATCACAATGATAATATCATCCAATAATTATTTATAACTATTTCTGGGACTCATACATGCAATTACAAGTAATTCATAATAATATTTTAAATTTTGAAATCATATTTA